AAAGGTGTGATCAACACACACTCGGTATGATCAACACACACTCATATAAAAGGTGTGATCAACACATGGTCATATGAAAGGTGTGATCAACATATGGTCATATGAAATTTTCAAAGGCTAAAAATAGTTTTAAAAGAAAACATGAAAAATACAAATTTTGTCACTGCCGCCTTCCTTTAAATTTCTAATAATTTTTTTCTTATAGTGCTATATTTGCTACTCTGTCATAGAGACAAACTACATTCTAAAATTTTTGGTGATCACAAACTGTAAGTGGATACTACATACTTTTGGTGAGCTAGATTATTATTGTATTAAGAAATTTTAAGAAAAAGTCTTACATATGAAATGGTAGCAAAAAGAAAAGAAATCAAAGTGTATCACTTGATGGAATGGGAATAGCACCCCTTTCCCTGCGCCCAGTTAACCTATGTATTCAGGAGCAAAGGCTGATTCTGTTCAGTAAGTCAGGGTACCACTGTATCTCTTCTTATTTTGTTTCCATAGATTTAATCATTGAGGAATTTTGTTCACACAAAAAGAACATGGAAATGAGAGCAGTGTTCTCATATCCACCTTATTCTCTTGACTGTCTTTCTATTTTTATGACAGTTACTGCATAGTGTTCTGTCATCAAAAATTAATTATGATGATTTATCTGTATGATTAAATTCCCTTTTGACTTCATTGGAGGCAAAGGTCGCACTTGACGAATCGAAGGGCTGCAGTGTGGTTACCAAGCATTCACTTTCTGGTTTGGGGAGATATATGGAAGATGCTTACTGTACATGTCTGTGTTGACATTCTCAAGCGTCCGAAGCACTTGCTGTCAGAGAGGAGGCTTTTTGAAAGCTACAGCAGCCTATCAAAGCAGCCCAGTGTAGGAAAAGTACATGCAGAGCTGAGGCTGGGAAAGGCAATTCTCTTTATACTGTTTGTGCCTGAAACTCCTTGGAAGAGCTTTGGATGTCCAGGGGAGCATGTTACCCCAGCAGGAAGTCACACTGTGTTGCACTAGCTATCTTTGGACATCACTGTTGGAGGTGGTAATAATCATTTTGAAGTAAAAACAAAACAAAACAAAACAAAAACCTAGGTTCTGATAACGTTTCAACTCTCCTTGTTTTTGGTAAAATATACCAGCGACAAAAAACATGGGTATAATATACATGTACAGGTTAACGAAAGTGACAATTCTTTGTAGTTTTGTCATTCCCCTCATTACTAATGAAAAGGAGCATCTTAAGGAGTCCTACCTAATCTATGAGTATGGTAAATTACACTGGTGAATTTTCTAACGGCAAACCAATCCATATTCCAGGAATAACTTCAATTTACTCATGATTATGCTTTTTAAATAAATCTGTATATAAAACATTAAAAATTTATTTTTCTAATAATTTGGTACATTAATTTTGTATACATGGTAATAATTGAAAAGACATCAATTTTCTTTATTTACACTCTGTCTGGTTTTTGCAATAAAATCATGAGGCTCATAACGTGAGCTGTACACCTGCCTTCTTCCTTAGTCTCAGGAAGTTTTCATGAAACTTAACTCCTGCAACACTTGGGAAATTTAATCTAAGACTATTCTGGGTTGGTGACCCTTTGGGAGAAAAATTGCATGAAGACTGTGAATTAAGCATGATTTTAGAATTCAGTCATGGGTCTATTTATTAAATTTAATCTTAGTCTTAGAAGTTATGCTTTCTAGGAGCGTGGTCACTTTCCCTGATATTGCAGTTATAACTTACACAGCACTCCAGTTTCTGTGGAATTCCCCACATCTGTGGCTGTGTCTTCACTTAGGAGCAGCAATGATCTCTCGCACCAAGGCAGGCTGCTCAAAGCCAATTTGTGGGTCAAGTTACCAACATCACTTCACCAGCCCCACTGCATAGTTGTTTCTCTCCAGTTCATCAATTCCTAGTCCTTTCCTTATTTCTCATTTTTCTCTAATTTCTCTACATTTGTTATCTTCTTCATCTTAATTTGGATTTCCATCCCTTCTTTTTTATGTAAGCATCTAAGTACCTAAATTTCTCACTAAGCATCAATTCTGCTAATCTGGCACACTTAAACACATCATTATCATCCCAGCCTATACATTTTACAAGGCCCACTATAATTTATGTTTTGAATTATGGGCTGTTTGGAAGTTTGCTTTGGAATTCCCAAATGTTCACTGTTTATATAGGTATTTTGTTTTTAACCTTAGAACTATGTATAGCTGTGCCATTGAATTCTGGCCCAGGGATATGAACAGACATGTGTGCACAACTTTCAAATATCATTAAATGAACTATACATCCTTTTATCTCTTTATTTTACTTTTACTAGTTATAATGCAGTCGTAATGACCAGAGATGGACCAGGCAGGAACACACAGAGGCAGACAGAGGAAAAAGAAGAGCCTTGGCTCCAAGATGAGGCCATGCCACCATCCTTCCAAGTACTCATTATGCTTGAACTGCTACTAGAATTGAATTTTATCTTAGTGAATCTATACTATTATATGGGGGGATGTCTGGGGTACTACAGTCATGCCAAGTTTCAATAACAGAATATGAGAATCTAAAGTATCAAGGTGTTCATAAAAATAACAATAAAGGGAGATTCGTCAAATATGTGAAAAATGAATTTATGATCCAAGTTGAATTGCAGCAAATTCAATTTCACTTTCTTGCCTTCTCAATAGTTTCTCTACTTCCTCTTGGCCTTAATTTCCACTTATTGATCTGTAATCCTTGGTCAGAACAGTGACAGCATTGAGAGCTCCCAATCCTTCATTTTTTCAAGCATATTTCCAAGGCTGGTCTTCATCCAAGATGCCCCCTTCCCATCTTTATTTACAGTCTTTCACTCCCCACACCACTCTGTCAGGGGCAGGGTGACTACTCCTGATGTCTTCATACTGCATTTCAAACCACAGACAAGGGCATAAAGGCCATTAACAACTCTCTATCGAATAAATAAAAAACAAAAGTTTACTACTTTTTGGCTCCCAATGTTCATTCACAAGGAAAAGCTAGAATTCCTCCCAAGGATGTCTCAGCATCCAGTGACAACCAGTAGAAACTGGTTCTCAAAAGGAAGTCACTTGGATTTCTGGTGTAACAGATCAAGCCCAAACTCTTCGGTTTGCATTTCACAGCCCCAGAATGTTAACTATTACCATGACAAACTGTTACCAATGTCAAAGGCTGTAGTCAATCTACCCTGAGAAAACATGAAGGACTTTGAAAGAAAACAACAGCCAGGCGTTTCACACCCTTCTGGATTTTCCAACCTATGGGCTCGCTCCACCTGGCACTGCTGCTGAGTTTGTATAATTCCGAGCTGTAGACAACTGACAGCAAATGCTTCCCGTTTACGGATGATTAATGTTGTCTAGTTTCAACTGATTACATTTTCTACTATGGAAAAAGCCAATTCACTTCAGGACCCCCCTACTCCCATGCCACGCCCCCTCCTCTCTCTGTAGTTCTTTGTTCTTTTGAATCAGTTAGAATATCCTGCCCGTGCCATCATTAAACAGTTAGATAAGCACATTTTACAGGAACTCATTTCATAATTACATGAGAATCATGATATCGATGGTCTTAAGAGTATGCCCTGACCAACCCTATGCTCATTTTATTACCTCCTCAATCGGGAATGCCTCCTTTGGCTCTCTTCTGCATGACACTACCAAACTCTTCATATTTCAGAGATAATTCTCTCCTCCTCATTATGTCTTCAAACGACAAAACCTGTAATTTTTATGATGTTCCCAGACACAATGCTGCTCTAATTTATGCTACCAATCTTCTTCTCTTCGTAACAGCTGCTGCAGCGCGCACTGTCTCTCCCACTCAACTGCTGGGGGCAGTCCCTTTACTTCACAGCAGTAACTCACTTACATGTAAGTGACATCTCTTCTTAACCTGACTACAAGTTCCTTACAGGCACTGATCACAACTTATTATCCCTTTTTAGCCCTTCAGTCAACACAGTACCTTGAGAGTGCCCAGAAAACACAACATCTCCTATTACTACTGCCTATGAGCTGGGGCTTTTCATCCAGAATTTTTCTTGGGTAATCCCTTATCTTTATTTGGGAGATCAACTTGCCATATGTTAGCTGAAGGGGTTTCCTGTTCAGGAAAACGCAAGGTAAACAGGGAAAATGGTTCGTGTTCAGTAAGACATCAAATAATGTATGGTACTATCCGGAAAGACCCAGAAATTAATTTAGTGTACGTCTGGGAAATGTTTCCCCTCAACTACTGGATTGACAACATTTTTACTTGGTTTGCTAGGTACAGTCTTGCACAAGAGTTGGATACATAGAGTTCAAAATTTTTCATTCAATGCATATTTACTGAATGTGAAGTTTTTGACAGATCTTGGGGATTAGTTTACAAATGATGTGTAATTTGAAATCCAGGAGCTTGTCTGACAGTGAATAGAGGGGAAGTTTGAGGAAGAGTGGACACAGATGGTGTCAACTGCCAAATGACGTCACGGGACGACAAAGGAGCACCCTGCTTTTGGGTGTTACAACTACCTGCACACTTAAAGAAATCAATCATTAGTAGGCCTGAGGGAACAATGAAATGCAAAGTGACATCTGCTCCCACAACACACACCGGCATGTGATTCCTTCTGTGACCTTCACAGCCATAGCCAAGTGTGGGACACCAGTATGTGCCGATGCTCTAGAGTCTGAATTATGAGAGGATAATAAATGATTCAGACTGCTTTCAGCATATTTGATTTTATGAACTATAAAATACTTTATCAGTTGAAGAGCCTACCAAGTGAATTAAATTCTGCTTCTTATAATGCCATATGAAGTCAAAGGACTTCATAATATTTAAGCATTAACATTATCACCAAGAATTTTAATTTTTATGGTTTTACTTATGATAATTATTTTTGAGAAAACTGTTACCGTACCAACTCCAGTCCATTTAATCATTTTTATTTTTCTCATGATGACTTTTAATTTTTACCTTTGGTTCCAGGGGACCCCTTGGAAAAGGCCTGTAAGATTCTACTGCATGATACTTCATTAGGAAGATGTTAGGTATAGAAAAAGAATACAAAGAAATGAAAAAGAGTTTGCATTGTTGTAACTTAAATTTTTGGACATCACACTGATAAAATTCTGATATTTAAATAAAAAATAACATGTGATCACAATGATAATGACAACCCAGCATTAGGCTTTAATATTTTTCCGAGGTTTTCCCTTTCTGATATCAAGACTTGCTAAAATTATTGTAATTTTGCCATTTTTACAAATGCAGAGTCAAGAAAGATACACTTCTGGATGTATATAAATGGTACTTCGTGCTCTCAGTCTGTCTACAACACACACATTGTCATTTTGCTTATATTTTTGAAGAGAATATTTAACTCATAAATGTGTTGGTAAAACACCCCTAAAACTAAGTAAAAATGTGGAGGAAAAAACACTGTACTCCCTAATGCTATCACACTGAAATGGAGAAGGTGAGTGAATTTTTTGAGAAATCCAATTAAATCAAAGGAAGAAATTACTGAATTTGGACAGTGTCACTCTATAAAAACAGGTCCATTTATTTCTATTTCTTAAACTTAAGATACAAACACTTTACTTATTAGCTTTATTGCTTAAAGGAGTTTTATTCTTTCCTGTACATTAAAAATTTACCAAAAGAAAAACCACCACTGTTCCCAAGATACTGTTAGTATTTTGTGTAGTTTCTTAATGATTGTTTAATGTAAAAATATTCATTTCCAGTATTTGCATCAAAGTTTTATACATTGCTATACTTTTCCACACACACAACAGCATGGTAATCTTTACTTCTTCAAATATGTCTTTTTATTGCTGCATAATATTTTGCCATAAAGTAGCACTATAATTTATTCTACTGTTTTGCTGGCTTCCCTTTATTTAATGTGGTGCCAGAGACTGAACCCAGGGTCTTCTTGCACATGCCAGGCAAGCACTTTACCACTGAACTTACACCCAGAGCCTTGTTTTTTCTGATTCACATGGCTACTGTGAAAAAAGTCCTCATTATAGTAAAACAGCCATATTTTCTAAACCTGGAAGAGTAAAAAAAACAAATCACAAAACCTAATTCTTATCTAACAAGTGGCTGATATGGGTATTCTCACTCTTCTGTTTCTTTGTGTTTGTTTGTTTGTTTTTGTTTTTGGAGACAGGGTTTCTCTGTGTAGTTTTGGTGCCTGTCCTGGATCTTGCTCTGTAGACCAGGCTGGCCTCGAACTCACAGAGATCCACCTGGCTCTGCCTCTTGAGTGCTGGCATTAAAGGCGTGTGCCACCACCACCTGGCCCCTCCCTCTTCTGTTTCTTAGGGATGTAAGGCATCACTGAAGAACACAGGAGTTTGTTCCTTGAATTAGTTTTCATTTGAAATGATAACATAAGCCTCTTCCATAATGACCACAGCATGGAGTGTTACAATTTACTTCAACTATAGATACATTGTTTTCTCTCTTATATTTTAAAATGAATCATTTTTCTAATAAATAAATGCAATCACATAGTGTTTACCGCTAGGTACTTAAAATGGTTCCCAATACTAGATTTTGTCAAGTAAGACTGTCAGAAAAGGGCTGACCAGGCTTTATCCCTCTCTTTGGGGCAATGGTAAAAAGTGAAAGCAGTAAGTTAAAAACTTGGCCTTCCAAATGCCTGCCACCCAACCTTTGCAGTGATGACGAAAAACAGGCAAGGCATGGATCGTATTTGTACTAATCCTGTTATCCACGTAGCAGCTCATCTTGGCATGTCCATTCCGACACCTGCAGTCCTCTCCATATATTCACACTTTCATTGTGAATGTTTTCAACAGAAGTCTATATTCACTTACCTTTTAGACACAGTTTAGCGCCTTCCCCACTTTGAATCTGAGCAGTAGTTTTAGAAATACTTCCTTGAACTGCTTCCTTTGGTGGGCTCTGAAATCCACATCAGACAGCAGTAATTCTGATACAAGAAGGAAAATGCCCCCACTTACCGTTTCTAATGCATTTACACGGTCCTGCAAATGAAGCACAGTACAGAATTATTAAAGCAAAGCTGTAAGCTGACTTCGTTTGCAGGTTTTTCTGTCTACCTGCTATTAGCAAAATATTATTTTAAAAATATAAAAACTGAAAACTCCTTACTCAGATGATCTCAGTAACAGAAACACAGCAGGAAAGAAACACAATACTTTTTCTTCTTGCACCTACTGATTGACAGGACCTCAGGGATTAATTTAATAGAAAATGTTATGAATTCAGATCTGGTTACTGAGAGGAATAGTTCATATCACTACTGTACTGACAAAATTGTCTCCTTAAGGATATGTAAGTGTGACTATGGGAATCACAGCTGGGTGGTAGCAGTGGCGTGCAAAAGACACTACCAAGTATACTTGCTTCATTAGGCAAACACTGAAGTGTGTGATCTAGTAAACTTTAGATTTAACTTCAACAGTTAAAAGACACAAATTCTGAATAAAAAAAATTCCCATGCAGCTGAGGGCCCTGCTACCGAGTTCCTCTAGAGTAACTACAGAATATGGTTTATAGAAACACTGGCTTTAAAGGAGTCACAAACAGCATCATGTAACAAGCCAGATGATTGAGAAAAAAAGTTTGGAACTCAATAACTATAATCACAACTCTTTCTAGAGGTGAAAGGTGGAAACTGGACATATTCACCGAGTTCAAAAACTGGATCTGAGAGGAAGCTAAGTCGGAAGCTCAAGATGGGGCTGAGATTGTGTGTTGTTCTGCCATTTGAGCAACTGGAGGAATCTATGGCATCGGGAATCTTTTCCTTTAATTATATTGACTCACATTCTTTCAGCCTCACCAGAAAATACAGGCTGTTCTCTCAGAAGTTCTATAAGTAGAGCCCAGTCTTCACACTGAGAAACTCAGATGAATGGCCTGTAAACATTTGGCTAGGAGGGTACAAGTCAGCATATCAACGCCCTATATTATGGAAGGCACCCGAAAGCTGGCTGCTGAGCAACACATTTTGTTTAATTACAGTTTATTAGTATACTTGGTAGGACTTCTCCTTGCCACTATGGTTTTTATAAATCAGTATTCCATGGTGACTTACAGAGTGTCATGTTTGAGTGATGTCACAGAGGCATATGGCACCTCAAAGTGTCTCTACTCTGCTGCTACCATGCTTTCTATTCATAGCAAACCTGGACCATCATCATTCAGCAATATGTCACTGTCCTGTGCAGACTGAACAGACAGCAGGGAATCCAAATATCTACAACCCTTGCATGGACTTAAAGTTTCCCCCGTTCCATCCCCTGTGGGCTGATAATGTTTAAGGTTACTATATTGTAAGAAAACACATATAACTAACTGGCTTGAAACAAGCAACTTCATATAATGTCAAAACAGAAGAGTTTAATTTCCATCTGCTTTAATCTTGATCACACTCATGGCAAAGATATTATTCTGATTTATTTTATGTCTAGCTGAATTCTATCCATCTGTTTTCATCCTTATCACACTTATGGCAAAGATAATCTGATTTATGCTATATGTCTGAATTCTATCTAAATATTTGTATGACTTGTAAACATAAGCCTAGTCCATAGAACTATAAACTCAAACAGTCAAATAACACCATCTGTTTAAAACATAAAGGCCAATGAGCAAAACACCTACTGTGGCTTACTAAAGCCTGCTTGTCTACAGCCAACTTTCTTCCCAAGTGGTAATGGAATCAGGATGCAATGGAAAATGAATGCAAAGAAAGCCATCCAGCCAGGAGGAGCCTGTGCTGTGGCTGGTGGGTAGTGCTTGCCAGCAAGCCTGATCACCTGAGTTAGAGCTCTGGGAAACACATAGTCAACTTGTAGGTGTTATCCTTGGACATTTATGGGCGTGCCCCTACCCACACACAAATAAATAAAATGTAAGTGGATTTTTTAAACGAGGACATTAAGGAAATAGAAAGTTCTTATTAACCTAAATTTTATTAATTTAAGTTGCCAAACAACAACGGCAGCAGCTAGGAAGAGTTCAGGCATTGCTCCCATAAGTGAGCATGGTCTAAACCACATAGTTTTAAAGTCTCAATTATAGGTCATAATTAAGAGCAAAATAACTCCTTATTTTTTTAAATTAAGGTGATTTAAAAACGTATCAATGTAGAACACCATAACTGGCCACAAATGCAACCAATTGCTCTACTATGACCTTCACTGGTTAACTGTTCTTTCTTTTTCTCTTTGAATTGCCAGATGTTGTTGCCATAGATTTTATCTTCAAGCTCCACTTATAGGCTCAACACCCTTTAAAATCCTTATTTTTAAGTCTGAACCCTGAAAAGTGTCATAACATTAAAGGGGTAGTTAAAGGTGAAGGGAAGACAACCTCCACTGTGATGAAGATACTGTCATGGTAATCAAATTATTCTAGGTGATGGATTAGTGACTTTATCTTTACAGTCATAGATTTGAGTGTCCACTGAAAAGAAATCTTCTAAGGAAAATGAACATTGCATATAACACACTTATACACATAATTTTATATGGGCTTTTAATACAATGGCAGATTCTCCCAAGTTATCTAAGGACCTCCATTTCTTTTATTCATATAAAAACATCTAAAATGAACTGTAGGAATAGTATACAAATAAATTATAGAATTAAACAAATCTACTTCTTTGTTAGGAAATGTTTCCAGATAGCTAACACAAGGAGCAAAGAGAAAAGAAACAATTAGACTAATGCAAAAGCAAAAATATGAATCTGAGGGAATATAAGATTAAACAACAATATCAAAATAGAAATCAAAGGAAAAAGTTCCTTCAAATATTTTGAGGAAACAAAGTTTAGGGAGGATAAAGTCTATAGTGTTATCATTGGGATTTTTTGTGATTAGATAATTAATTTTTCCCACCATTCTTTAATTATAAGGCAAAGTTTAAGAAACATCTACAGTGGCAACAAATAATGTTTTTCATATACAGGATTCCCACGGAGCTGCACAGTCCCTGGCTTAAATGTGCAGGGTTAACAGCTATTCCGCACATGACCATCGTAAACTATCTAGTGAGAATAATGCAGGAAGACACTGTGTTCTAATTTATTCTGAGCTTGACAGGCCATGTAGACAGAGCTACATTTGAGAGGAAGCTTACAGCATGCATACTGTTAAAATGTATTTTAACTTTTTAGGATGAGGTGAATGCTCCGCCGTGAACCATAAATATTCATTTACTGATGGTCACAATGGAGTATGCATTAGAATTCAGGAATGGGCTGAGGCAAATTCATTAACATCACTGCAGATGGGAAAGGACTGTCGGCCAGGTTGGAAATGAGCATGAAATGGATTGCTGGTATCTGAACGGTGAATCACTAACAGTTCACTTGAATCAGCTGAACCAATCAATTAGACACGTTGAATTAGCTATCACATTTAAGAGATGAATTAGATGCTTACAGATTAGAATATTAAGAATTATTTTGCTGTAGAAAACGAGAGTTGAAGAACTTTAGTACCCTTGTCATAATCACATGGTATTTTTAGAGAAGGACTTTAAAAGTATTATGAACATAGGAGAAAACACTGGCAGACAAACAGGAGATGAATCTGTCTTTTCCAAGTCAAAGTTCTACAAGTAAAATAATTTCATTATCTTCTTTAGAACAAAAGGATTATAATGGATATATAACTTTCAAAAAGAAAATCCCACAGGGAGGACATCATCCCACTAGAAGCAAATAGCCTATTCTAGAAGGTAACTACTCAGCTTTACCACAAATAGCACTACCCAGGGCTCCTCTTGTCAATCCCAACCCTTCTGTGTATGTATCAACTCGTGTGCCTGTGTGTGCACGCATGTGGAGAGCAGGAGTCAATGTTGGGCATCTTTCTCAATCACTTTTCACCTTAGATTTTAAGGTAGGGTCTCTCACTGAATCTGGAACTAAATCATTTGGCTAAAATAACTACCCAGCAAGCCTGAAGGATCCTCCTCTCTCCAGCTCCCCAATCACTTTGATTATACTCATATACTAAAATGTCCAATTGTGTAAGTGGGGATGGAAATCATGTCCTCATGCTTGCCCAGTAGGCACATTACCAACTGAGTCATCTCACCAGGCCTTATGTCAACTATATCTGGTGGACAGTCATGCTGTACCAGCATGGCTTTAACAAAGGATAGATGTATGGAACAAAATGTAAGTGCTATACATTTTTATTTCTAGGCATTTCCTCATATCAAACAGTTGCATTTAGTAGTTAGCCATAGTTTCATAGCTAAAAAAGTAGAAATAACCTCACATTCTTTCCCAGATGTCAAGATAGTACAAAGAAAGGAAGAACAAAGCTTTCATTGACTATTACCAACAAGATAAGCATTTCCTAGAGGTATTTAAAATAAACTGAAACAAATTGAAAGTTAAAAAACACAATCTCAACACAGCAACATCAAAAACCTTTACAATATAGCATAAATTTGTTCTGAATATACTATATGCATGCAATTATGATCTATACATGAAATTGCATGCTCCCTTTCAATAGTCAAACAAAGTTACCCTAGACTCTCTTGAGGATGGATGGTATTAGAGAAGTTTGCACTGATGTGTCAACCATCCAATGTTCAATTTACCCATCAACAGGTACTAAGCGTTTACTGTTAACCTCATCACAGTAGATACTGTGAGTATATTTGTTATTTCATTAGCTACTTATGTGTTTTTTGCAAGCTAACCTACTTCAGGGTCTAAAACAACAAATCAGAACTAATGAAAGAAATGAAAAAAAAAAACAAACAAACACAACAAGCGAAGGTTTTATCTTAAAACACGGTCACTAAATGACCAAACAGACTTACCAAGAAAAGCAAATAAGACCCATGTCAAATCCTGGCCTAGACATAGTGTCTAATAATACTCCTAGTTATCTGGCCTGGTGTGGCAAGTGTCTGAGATGCAGAGACAATCGCAGGATTTAAAAGCAGACTCAACGATCTCTTCCACTTTTCCAGTACGTTCTCTCGGGTAGGACATTACTTTTGCTAAGACGGAGACCTGCGAGCCCGCAGCCGTCTTCTGTGCCTTCCCCTTGCTTCGCTCTCAGATCTGCACCTAGCTTTGTGGTTTTCCTTGTTATGAGGTCATTACTGATCATGACAAGTCAGTTGGCTCTTCGGGAGAGGATGGCATTGTAGTCTCACAAGGATGCTATGCAATTTTGTATCGACTCTTAAGGGAAATGCAGAAGGGCCTGAGTGATGGTTTATGGAGTGGGGAATGCAAATGGGGTGGATGGGTGAAGCTTTGTAGATTTGTGTTTAGAATTCAGACTGGAAAATACGACCAGAAAGGAATGGGGAAAGGGGGTGTTGTTTCAACATGCTCTAAATTCTTGCACTTAATTCTATGAAACTAGTACTAAAGTTAGGTTTCTTCACTCTATTTCAAAATCAAGAAGCAAAGACTTTTATCTTTTAAAATGAAGTATCATTTCAAGATTCCTCCTTTCAGATACAATGTAATGGGGTATGTAAGTATGTGTCTACAAAAATGTACCTTAAAGAAAAAAAAAAAAAAAACGAAGGTGGAAGATGGAATTATCATTCTCCCGGGAGTTCCCAATTCCACACTGAAAGGGCTACTAGTGGGAAACAAAGGCATTTTGTTCATTGTGTGGCATCTGGGATACAGCACAAGTGAAAATTATCAGCAGATAAAATAGAGCCTATGGCAATGTCTGGGGCAATGTAAATGACAGCTGATATGATTTCTAAAACTGACTATTCCCAGGGAGACGTGCAAGAACAGCAGGTGGGTAGCAGAGGAAGAAAGCCAGCAACTCAGAATCAACACATCATAATTGTTTTCTAGGATTTACACTTTAAAAAGTAGAGTACAGGTCTCTAGCTGTGAGGTTAGCCACAGAGCCAGCAAAAACACTCTGAAGCCTGAGCAGGTCATATTGCAGTGGTGATTCTGCTCTGGCTTATGAACAAGGCCGTGCCATGGAGAATGTGTAGGAAGTAATAGGGTAGGTTTGTATTTTCAAGTAGAAGAGGGATATACTCCTGACGGCCTCCAAAGGTAGCTGTCCCAAGGAAGGCCCTAAGGATCTCCTTTATTTCCCTCAAGGGCACACATCTCCTGGGCTTTTTGGAAGAAAACTATCACAAGAAAAGCATTATAAGCATAGGATCTTTGGCCCAAGTCCCTTCCACCTGAGGACTGAATTTACTGGGCCTGTGTGTCACACAGCTGAACCTCAAATGTCACAACCACATAGTCCACTTGGTGATTGAATGGCTCATCTCTGTGCAATCCCAATAATCCACATCCTAATTTATATGCAGAGTTATTTACTCAACACACTGCAAGAAACATGTCAGACAAAAAAGAACACATTGCATACCTTTTGTTCTCACATTCCTTCTGTGTGCTCCTATGTGTAGCTACTTCTCAGTGTTACATGCCAGAGGGGCTACAGTTGAAAGAAATCTAGACTTGAGCTGGAAGTTTTAAGATAATCTATTTGGCTGACTTTGCGTTACATTTTCTTCTTCCTATTTGGTTTGACTTTAATTAAAGCACTATTATTAATTGGTATTTCTTAATACACACTGACAGGTACAAAAAAGTTAAAGAATGCAAGATAAACCTCAGATCCCCTGCCCTTAGGCAACCAATAGGAAGTTATGCTTTATCTATGATATAAGCTATATCTAATGATACAGAGGGAAGACACAAGTAAATGCTTTGTTTACATGTTCCCATGGGAAGCATACCTGAAGGCTGGAATATCCTGCATGCCCTAAAATAAAGCAGATGCATTTTTTGGCTATTCAATTCAAATATCCTAAATATTCCTATCTATGACATACTTAACTGCTTTATCTTCAAATTGAGCTGCATTCTGAGTTCTCACTGCAGACTGACTAGCTTCTTCCCAGGGTGGAAGCTTAAATAGCAGATTCGGCTGTTCAAGAGAGATGGGAATTATCAAAGAGTTGGAGAGCTCTCTTATCTTAAAGTTATTGGGATGCTCAAAATAGTATAGCTATAAAAGTAACACAAATACAGACCATAATTGCCAACTAATGTTTGAATTTCTAAATTTAAAGAAAATGATACCATGCAGTAGTTTGAAATGGTTCCCCAGATAAGTCCTTATCCAACTCAAAACCACAAAGTCTAGAGAAATCATTACTTGAAATTTCAAACATTGTCCCCTTCAGGGTGATGAGGAACACAGGGAGTTAGGGTAATGTGCCTAAGTCTTGATTTCACAAAACTGTACTGGAGGAAGGGATACTCGTTCCGCAGGTCTAAGAGGAGAGGGGTTAAGTAGAACTATAGCTTTTCAGCAGCCACCCTGGGCAGTCTCACGACCAAGTGTGCTGCTCAGACTCTCAAGTTTACCATGGATAATGGAACACCCAGGATGCTGAGTGACTGTACACCAGGAAGGTCTGATCATATGACAGTAGACGTCCCTTCCATCTGCCAAATTACCCTAAATCCTACCAACAGAAATTTTATCCTTTGTAGATGTGAAAGAATTATTCCCCACTTCATCTTGTGCCAGTTCATCTTGCAAAAGACAAGCATTTTTCCATTAGATTGTCATGAAGCTAGTCCAGGAGTCAGGAGAGATGGCCAGATCCAGCCAGCTACTGGTTTGCACAGGACCGTGCATGGAAATGGTCTTTATACTTTTTATTTGGTCGAACAAAACCAACACAGAATAATACTACTACATGAAATTGTATAAAATCAAAATTTCATTGTACATAAACAGAGCTTTACTAGAACATAGGTGATTGCGTATGCTTTGTCTATGGCATTTTTCAAGGCACAATGCATAGCACGAGCCTAAGACATGCACAACTGAAGGTATTTTATAGCTTGGTGGCTATTGAAAGATATCGATGCCTGTTAAGAACTACTTTCTGCATGACAAAGGTCATTGTGGGTTTCTAGGGAGGGTAAGCTGATATGTACACACACACACACACACACACACACACACACACACACACACACACGTAGTAGAGAGAAGGAAGAGGAGAGAGAAGAGAAGAGAGAAAGAGTGCCATAGTATTTTTACCCAACTTTAAAACACTTTTTACAAATTGGGTATACATAAATACCAATACGCAAACTACAAACTATTCCTCAGGCCATTGTTTATTCCTTTTATCAGTTTTTATTTTTCATTTCCTTCCAATGACTTGTTTCTTTTCTTCCTCTCTCTGTTTTCACTAATTTCTGTACTTAATTCATTCACATGTATTGAGCTAGGCACTATGTTAGACATAGCATCAATAAGGAAGATAATTTTGCTTTTTTGGTGGAGCTCACATTTTGAAGGAGAAAGTCAAGATATAAAGAAAGAAGGTGCTAGGGATTGTGCCTGGCTGTGTGTGGGAGGAGGTTCACTGTGCACAGACTGGTCAGGGTCAGTCCTTATAAAGAGGCAGTATCTGAGGTGATGTTTAAGGATAGAAATGGAAAGTCACTAAAAGGGCCAGGGAAAAGTACATTACAGCGAGTGGGTAGCAATGCAAAGGTCCAGATGTCAGAAAGATTTTTCCTGAATTCTAAGGTTTAAGAACAAAAGGGACACAGAGTACTCACTGTGCTGTCTACTGAAACATTTCTTTCAGTTGCCCACATCAAATAGCAACACTGGATTTTCAAAGTTTAGGTACCAAAAAATTGTATTAGCTAATTTTAACATATATTCTTAATTTTAAAATTTCCCCAAACTCCCAAGAACAGATTAATATTAATTTCATTTAAAGTCAAAAACAGACTAAAAATTACTGTTGAATTTCCTATCATGCTTACATGATAGGGCTTAGTCTGTAATACAAGTCTACTCAAATCAAATTAATCTAATTCATATTCTCTGTCTCTCTCTGTCTCTCTCTCTGTCTCTCTCTCTGTCTCTCTCTCTCTGTCTCTCTCTCTGTCTCTCTCTGTCTCTCTCTCTCTGTCTCTCTCTCTCTGTCTCTCTCTCTCTCTCTCTCT